GCCACTACCTGGAGGTTGGCAACTTTAGGCTCCACTCACAGACCTTCACCGTCATTTTTTCTTTGGGAACCGAAGGATGTGGCACAGAGTGTGCTCTGGTGACATCTAGTGGTCACTGGGAAGACTTTGCTAAGCAGGCTGCATTCGCCCAGGTACCCGAGCTAGCAAAGTGGGTTGCCACCCGACCCTTTATTGAAAGCATTCCGATCTCACCTTTCTGACATCCTGTCACTATTTCAACTTTCAAGGCGTCCCATCATTATGAAGAAAACGAACTCAAATCAGTGAAAAGAACAAAAATAGCAACAAGAATTAAACCAGGTGATCCTCTATTCTTTTCTATGCCAGGGGTTATGAGCCTGCGGGCAGCTTGGGAATTCTGACAAAGAGCAGGGGACACAGTCAGCAAATGGCTGCTACAGGGGGTGGAGCCAGTCACAAAATGTCAGGAAGTGAGGTTGTGCACAACTCTAATAGTAACTCTTCAACATTTCAGGCAGAAGCTCTGTTCAACAGGACGCCTTTTAATCCGTACGGCCAATCAGAAGCCCTGCCAGACAAATATCCCACCTAGCCCCTCCCACTTTCTAAAACCACTTCGCGGGCACCAGAAAAGATGTCAGTGGGCACCATGGCACCCATGGGCACCACGCTGGGGACCTCTGCTCTACACCGACATCTGCCAGTCTGTCTATACCTGCCAATGGAGGACACGCTTCATGCATAAGAACATAAGAGAAGCCAATGCTGGATCAGGCCAATGGCCAGAAGCCCTCCCACTGTTGCCCCCCACCCAAGCACTAAGAATACAGTGCATCACTTGCCCCAGACTGAGAGTTCCTATCTATACCTTGTGGCTAATAGCCACTGATGGACCTCTGCTCCATATGCTTATCTAATTCCCTTTTGAAGCCGTCCATGCTTGTAGCCACCACCACTTCCTGTGGCAGTGAATTCCATGTGTGAATCACTCTTTGTGTGAAGTACTTCCTTTTATCTCTTCTAACCCAACTGCTCAGCAATTTCATGGAGTGCCACTGCCCACGAGTTCTTGTACTGTGAGAAAGGGAGAAAAGAACTTCTTTCTCAACCTGCTCCATCCCATGCATAATCTTATAAACCTCTTATCATGCCACCCCTTAGTCGTCGTTTCTCCAAGCTAAAGAGCCCCAAGCACTTTAACTCGTTTGTTATGAGGGCCAGATCTGACATAAATGAGATCTTGTTGGGCTGGGCCATGTGTGTCATAAAATGTAATGCCAGGTAGCGGAGATATGAACTTTATAAAGGATACAAACACAAAGGGTTTTTTTTTACTTAAAATAAAAACATGCTTCAAACATTAGCACTCTTGCAATATTTTGTTTATTTAAGAGTGTCTGATAACTGACACCCCTTGCTATGGATTATCGTATCAAAATGTCGTTGCTGCTGCAATCTTGAATATGCTGTTCAGGGGTGTATCTGTAAGCTGCAAACCTATGATGATGCAGCAGCAGCAGAACTGGAAGAAGAAGAAGCAGAAGACAGCCAGTTCCACTGCAGGCCTATTAGAAGTCCTCCGGGGGCCTGATCCGCCCCCCAGGCCACATTTTTTACACCAGACTTAATAGATCACTTATGTGATTGTCCGGCAGAGAAAGGTCATCCTGGACAGCTGCTACTCCAGAGGGGGCGGGCTTGTGTATATTTTTCTATTTGGTCGTATATCAGTCTAGTTATGTGTCTAGCCCCAGTAACCATCACGAAAGCAGCAAATTAGCCTCCCCCCCCCGACAAAGTGGTGTCTCCCCACCAGAGGTCATTTTGTAGAAAAAGAGCTAGGGGAACTCATTAGCATAACTCATTAGCATATGCCACACCCCCTGACATCAGGGGCCCGGTGGTGGACCTGCAAGGTCAGCGGGAGTGCGAGGAAGCCCTGCCAAGGCCCTCCCTGGCCCCAGGCAGGCAGGGGTGGGGAGAGGCGGGGAAGAAGCAACTTACCCTCCCTCTTCTCCTGCCTCCTCCTGGCTGAATGAGGGCTGGAAGCGGGGGGCGGGGCTTCGTCATGTGCCCCGCCCCCTGCACCTCACCCGGGGGAACTGCGTTCCCCCGCGTTCCCCCCCCCGAAATGACCTCTGCTCCCCACCAGAGGAATTCCTCAGATATGCAGAAATAAACAGTGTAAATTAGCCAAGAGAATAAAAAAAAAACACCACGAAACTTGGAGCAACAAGGACTGAGCATGTGGAAGATGCAGAGGGCAGCTGAGCATCAGTTAAAAGAAAAAGGAAGGAGGGTAAATCAGCCCGCTCATGTTCCTGAGTGTTTATAGAGTCCTGAAGGGACAATGTTGAGGAGTGCAGGTGGGAAGTGTTTCCTGATTGTTCCTTCCTCCTGGGATTCCTCCTGGGCCCTCAGCTTATTGCATATAATGCATTATGTAAACAATGTATAAACATATTGGGGAAGGACTATGGCTCAGTGGAAGAGCCTCTGCTTTTCAAAGAGAAGGTCCCAGGTTCAATCCCCAGCATCTCCAGTTAAAATGACAAGGTGGTAGGTGATGTGAAACTCTTCTCTGCCTGAGACCGTGGAGAGCCACTGCCAGTCTGAGAAGACAATACTGACCTTGATGGACCCAAGGGTCTGATTCAGTAGCAGGCAGCTTCACATGTGTCCATGTGTGCATTCATATAAAATGTAAAATGTATTTATCCATTTAGTTATGTATCCCATATTTATAATTCCCTTACGTATTGGCCATTTCCAGCTCTCCCATTGGCTGTGCAGTACACTCCATCAGCCATTGGCTCATCAACTGCCACTCAAGAGTACTCGTGTGCCGTTGGCTGGGTCCACTGTGCCAGCCCAGACACTCTTCTCTCACATAATAAACTATTAAAACAGCTGTCTCTCCTGACGAAGACACTTCTTCTTAGATTCTGTGGGACTAACTTTTCCCTCAGTGGCTGTTGCTAGGAAACTATGCTTGGTTATGTCAGTTCCTCCAGCAGATCCGTAGAGCCATGAAAACTGAGCTGTTTCACCAAACGTTCTAATAAGAACTGACTGCACCGGTTGGGTCGCACTAGCACTTTATCATAGGATGCCGCTGTATTTATTTAGTTTCATTGTATTTATTGTATTTGATATCTTGTATTCGCTGGTTTTAAATTGTATGTTTTTTAAAACTGTTTGTAAGCCGCCCTGAGCTGCCTCGGAGGGAGGGCGGGGTAGAAATTTAATAAATAAAATAAATTAAAAGGCAAAGGCAGGAGGCGTTTTCCAGGCCTTTATGGCGAACTCATTGGGGCCAGTCCTGACTAGGGTTGTCAGCTCCAGGTTGGGAAGTTCCTGAATATTCTGTGGTGGAGTCTAAGGAAGCCAGAGGCTGGGGACGGGAGAAGCCTCAGCTGAACAGAATGCCATAGAACCCATCCTCCAAAGAAGTTGTTTCCTCCGGGGGGGGGGAGATCTGTTGTCTGGAGTTCAGTTGTGATACCCGGTGATCTTCAGGCTCTACCTGGAAGTTGGCTACCCTCGGCGTAGCAGTTGGCACTTCAGAGCAGGGTCTGACAGACCCAGGTTCTTGCTGTTGAATTTGAGTGGGTGATTTCAGACCAGTCAGACATTCAGCCTAACCTATCTCACAGGGTTGTTGTGCAGATCAAAAGGGGGAGAGGAAAATGATGTAAGCTGCTTTGGTCTCCACTGCGGAGAACAACTGTACTTTTCCTCCTGGGGAACTATTGCTGCCAATCTCCAGGTGAGGGCTGGAGATGCTATTTCCAAACATGTCATTTCTAATGCTTTCAGTGCTCAAAGCGCTTCATGTACATTACTTTTACACAACAGTCCTTTCAGGTAGACCAATTTAATTATGCACGTATGGTAGATGGGGGAGGGGTCTGAGACAGGCTTCCCAAGACCATCTGGAGAATTCATTAAGATGGGTAGCCGTGTGTTAATCTGTCTGTAGCAGTAGAAAAGAGCAAGAGTCCAATAGCACCTTAAAGACTAACAAAATATGTGGCAGGGTAGGAGCTTTCCAGAGTCACTGCTCACTTCTTCAGATAAGCTAGAATGGAAATTCATGCTACACTATAAAGGAGACATGGCCATTTGAACCAACTTGTTCTCCCTTTCTTTTTCTAAATTAATAACGTTTTTATTGCACCAACCTGCACCTGAGAATCTATCATTTTAGAGACTGTGCACAGAAAGCATAGAATAATTATCATATGGCAGTGTGTGTAGAATAGGCAGGAGATCCAAAGATTGTCTGGCAGCCAAAAGTTTTAGCTCTTTTTAACGTTAAGCACCACTAGGTGGCGAGCCAGAATGGTTTTTATAAGGCAAGAGACTTTTCAGAGGTGATTCGCCATTGCCTGCCTCTGCATCACGTCCCTGGTATTCCTGGGAGGTCGCCCTTCCAAATACGAGCCAGGGCCGACTCTGCTTAGCTTCCGAGATCTGACAAGCCCGAGTGGAAAAGCGACAGCATCACGCGGCCAGCTTGCACTTCCGGTATTAAAGTGATACCCGTCGGGACGTGAAGGGGAAGCTGAGTGGCATAACTCTGTCGCCGGCATCTCTATGATCCCACCCCCTGCTACGGAACGCCAGAGCGGACAATTTTGTTCCGTTTCAGACTGGAAGGGCCTGTGAAGAACTGTGCGAGCTTGGCCGGTTTGTTCAAATCCCCCTCCAGTCTCACATCACGTCAGCCCTTTCCTCACCCGCGCTCCTGCTCTCCAACGGACACTCCAGAGGCGCTTAAGCCCCTCTCTTTTTCTTTTCTTTTTTTAAACTCACGATAGAAACGCCACGGCCTAGAGTAGTACCGCACGCCCCGTCTATGGAGGCGGCGCTCCAATTTCCGAGGGGGACAGCGGAAGTCCATTCTCCGCGCTTCCGGTTCCCCCTTTCCGTCGATGCCGCTCCGTCGGCCGCGTCCCCCGCTTTTCCTGTCCACGTCGCCCTTCGACCCCGGAAGTGGGCGGGGCCGAGCGGGCGATGTTGCTGCTGGACTAAAAATGGCGGCGTGTGGCGGCGACGGCCGCGGTTCCTGCTTTCTCCCGTCCTCGCGCTGGGCGCTGCTCCTCTCGGCGGTTCTTCTGTGGGGCGGCGCCGCGCGGGCCCGCGTCCACCACCTCGTCCTCAAGGTAGGCCGCGGGACAGGGCCTGGGTCTCGGCGGGGAAGGAGCGACCTGCCCTCCCGGCTGGGGGAAGCGGTGGAGGGGGGGGGCTTTCCTTCGTGTCCCCCCCCCCTCCCCGGCCCTCCCCCCCTCCTCCAGGCGAGGCTGCAGATGAGTGGCGGCGGAGTCCCTGCCTGAAGGATCTCCGGGAGCCGCACCTGTTGTGAAAGAGGCCTCGTCATCTTCTGTGGCCCCGGGCCCTGGATAGTTGCTGCCGGTCGTAGGAAGCAACGCTAGCCGTAGCCGTATTCTCGTTCCCGTTCAGTCTCTAGTTAAGGAATTCCTGGAGAAAATCTCTGGTGGCGCTAAAGAACTCCAGGCTGGGTGGGCCGGTGGTCTGACTCTGCACAGAGCAGCTTCGTCGGTGCCCTCTGCACACAAGTGGGAGGGGGTTTTGCTGAGTAAAAGGCCGTTCCGTTGCCCTGACATGGATGGCTCAGGCTAGGCCAGCCTCATCAGATCTTGAACGCTACGCAGGGCTGACTCTAGTTAGTATTTGGATGGGAGACCTGCACGGAATCCCAGGATCGCTATGCAGAGGAAGGCAATGGCAAACCAGCTCTGTCTTGAAAGCCCTATGGCAGGGGTGTCCAACAATCGGCCCGGGGGCCGGATCAGGCCCACAGTGGAACTGGCTGTCTTTTGCTTCTTCTTCATCGTAGGTTTGCATCTTACAGATACACACCTGAATAGCATACTCAAGATTGCAACAGCACAGACATAATTCAGAGCAAGAGGTGTCTGTTATCAGACACTGTTAAACTTAAACAAAGTATAGTAATAGTGCTGATGTTTTAATTTTATTTTAAGTTTAAAAAACCCTTTGTGTTCTTTATAAAGTTTATATCTCTGCTACCTGGCATTACTTTTTATGACACACATGGCCCGGCCCAACAAGGTCACATTTATGTCAGATCCAGCCCTCATAACAAATAAGTTTGACACCCTTCTCTACAGGGTCACCAAAAGGCAACTGCGGCTTGATGGTGCTTTGCACGCAGTGTTCAGGTGGGCCTGTGACTCAGTGTTTATGAACTAGGTTTGCAGGTAGATGTGTTTAGGGTTGCCTCTTGTTTAGAGTTGCTTCTTGGCATTCTAAGTAAAACAGATTTCAGATGACGGCAAATAAGTTTCTTGGTCTAAGAGCCTGGAGGGCCACTGCTGGTTAAAGTAATACAGTGCCAAGCTAGATGGATCAGAAGTCTGGTTGCATGGATCACTGAAATGGGATATAGCTGAGTGAAGAGAGCACCTTTGCAGTTCTCTGGATTTTTGCTTCACATCTTCGGATAGAAAGATGATAGGTAGCTGGTGTTAGGAAACCTCTTCCTGAGAACAAGGGAAGCCGCTGCTGATATGAGTAGACAACAAGGTAAAAGGTAGCTTCAGTAGTTCAGCCTGTTTGTAGAATGTGTGCATCAGGACACCTGCTTTCTGGTCAAATCTGCTCTCTGACATCTTCCCTTAGAATGTTGGGTAGTTTTTGTTGGAGTTGGGAGTTGGCAGTCAGACAATAAAGACAAATAGCATGATCAGAATTTTACTGGATTAGATGAGTGCTCTATGTAATTCAGTTATCTGTTTCCCACAATGGCTTGCCTGATATACTTTTAAGCTTAAAAACAGAGATGTGGCAACCAAAGTCTCCTGTGATCCATGAGCATGACTGTGATCCAGTCGCTTTGCTTTTCTGCTTCTATCCAGAGGGGCTGTTGTGCATGCAGAAGATTCCATATCCAACTCTGGCTCCTCTAGTTAAAAGGGCCTCAGAACTATGGGAAACGTTTACCCAGGACCCTGGAGAGTTACTACTAGGTGGCAGAAACATATGTCTGATTCAGTGGAAGGCAGCTGTAACTTAATGCCAGAGGTTATGCTGCGCATTCAGAAGGCCCTGGGTTTAATTCCTGCCATCTTTGGTTAAAGTAGAGCAACTGTTGGGAAAGGACTCTCTCTCTTTCACTCTGAGACCTTTGAGAGCCTGCTGGCCACACAAGATACACAGCATTGTGCTTGATTGACCAAGGTCTGACTCAGGGTAAGGCAGTTACGTGTGTTCGTTTTTTCACCTTATGTATTAGCCTCTCTGAGATTTGCTCTGTACATGCAAGTGGATGATGTGGTGGAATGAACATCTGATTAAATGTATTTGAATACTTCCACTGCTCTTGCCTACAACAAATTCCAAAAATATGTAATAATAAGCATTGTCACAACTTCAAAGTCAGTTGTATATGTTTTGTAATGGTTGCAACAAACCTCTTGTTATCTGTGGCAGGAGCAAAAATAGAAGGGTACCCCAGGGTCACCTTGGAACTTGATGGCAGAAGTGAGATTTGAACATAAAACTTAGAATCATACAGTTGGAAGGGGCCATCTAGTCCAACCCCCTGCTCAGTGCAGGATCAGCCTAAAGCACCCCTGACAAGTATTCATCCAGCCGCTGTTTAAAGACGGCCAGTGAGGGGGAGCTCACCATCTCCCTAGGCAGCTGATTCCACTGCTAAACAATTCTCCCTGTAAAAAAGTTTTTCCTAATATCCTTCCCGTTCTTAATTGAAACCCATTCTTGCGAGTCCTCTCCTCTGCTGCCAACAGGAACAGCTCCCTGCCCTCTTCTAAGTGACAGCCTTTAAAAGAGAGCGATCATGTGCCTTTAAAAGAGAGCGATCATGTGTCTCTCCCCCCCCACCTCCTCTTTTCCAGAGTGAACATTCCCAAGTTGCTCAGCCTTTCCTCGCGGGGCTTGGTCTCAGTCTTTCATTCTTTGTGTTGCTCCAGCTGTGTGTTTGCAGTCATGCAGCCTGTTTGAAGAATGGGTTAGACCCAGCCCACTATGCTTGTTTGAAGTGTGGCTTCCCCCCCTTGCATCCTGAAGCGCTGTAGTGCCCTGCTGCATCTCGTTCTGCTGTTATGTGCAGATCAGACCTCACTTCCATCTTTTGCCTCCTGTGACCAGTTCAGCGAAGCCTGGGAGATGAGTGAAGAAGAGGCTTCTGCTTGGTGGGTTGGTAAAGGGGCTGGCGGTATAGTAGATCTCTTTATAAAGCATTCTTGTATGCTTAATCCGCTGCACATAGAAAACTAGGCACAACAGAGTTTGCCTCACCTTTTGCATAGAGTGTGGTCATCCACAAGCACGGTATCTTTGGGGGGAGATTCTGAATTGAGTTTTCTTACATGAATTGTATTTCCCCAATCTTCAGCTTGTTTTGGTAGGAGTGGTTTATTTTCAGCTGTAAGTCATGGGCATCCCACGTATTTTTCTATGGGGAGTCCAGTCAGTCTCCCACCCAGGCACTGAGCAGACCTGCTTGGTTTCAGCAGGGGGGATGGCATCCTCTGCCTTCAGACCAAGTCCGGGGGTCCAACTTCCCACTTCATGTGTTACATTATTAGGTGTACTTGCTGAAGTCATTCTAAGCATGCTCAAAAGTGTAAAACGTGAATATGACCAGTGCATGTTTATAAGTGTGTATTTAGTAGAGAATCTCAATAGGGAGCCAGGATTGGCTGCAGATCTGTTCAGTGTGAAGTTGATTGCAAACCTGTGTTCCCCTTTATTTACTCTGGCAGAAAGGTCCTGAGGTATACACAGGTATACACAGGATGTATAGCCCCTAGCAAGGAGTGCATTTGTTGATGATCCTTAAACTAGGTGATTCAGTTCCCCGTGATGTCATCCTGGCATACTATTTTTCCTTCCTCCTGGAGGAGAGGAAAGAGTCTGTACCTTTTCTGTTTGATTTTACTTGGGACGTCTGTTCCTCTGCTGCCCTGCTGCTGTCCTCTTTCCACTGAAGATAGATTCAGGTGGGCAGCCATGTTGGTCTGAAGCAGCAGAACAAAGTTCGATTCCAGGGGCACCTTTAAGACCAACCAAGTTTTATTCTGGATATAAGCTTTCATGTGCAAGCACACGTCTTCAAGTACATTGACATGAAAGTTGCCAGTCCATACGTATAGGTAGAGGGTGAGCAGCAAATTAGCATACAGCATAATAAAGGTGTTTAGCAGATGCAGGGACCAAACTGGAATAAGAAGCTTAGTTTAAATGGGCACCATTTGTTTGGGTTAATTCCGGAAAGAAATATGGTGAAGGAAATAAATCTATCAAAGTCAAGAAGGGTTCATCTGCCCAGCAATCTCTGATTTTGATATATTTATTTATTCCACTGTGTTTCCCCTCAGAATTAAACCCAAACAAATGGAGACCGTATAAACTAAGCTTGCTATTCCAGTTTGGTCCTTGCATCTGTTAAACACCTTTATTATGCTGTGTGCTAATTTGCTCCTCACCCTCTACCTGTATGTATGGACTGGCAACTTCCATTTCAATGTATTTGAAGACATGTACATGAACATGAAAGCTTCTACCCTGAATAAAGTTTTGTTGGTCTTAAAGGTGCCACTGGACTTGAACTTGGTTCTCTTTCCACTGCTTGGTTTGCATTGCTCGATGGTTGCGGCCGCAGACTGTAGTTCCTGGACTGCTTTTAGCTCATATCTTAATTGTTTTATTATTATAATTCCAAAGGGGTAGCTGTGTTTGGTTATTGTAGTAAAATAACATATTGGACGTACTAAAATAAATGTTAGTCTTCAAGGTGCCACTAGACTTTTGTTTTATTGTTGTGAGCACCTAGAGAATCATTATGGATGGAAAGCAGTAGATAAATATAGTGTGTAAATAAGATACTTGCCAGTCTCGCACCTGTCATGTAGAAAGTAGTACGTTCTGTTTTGGGGCAGCAAAAGGGATACACAGATGGGGAGTGCAGAACTTTCCTATTTTAAGCACCTGGAATGTCAGTGGTGTGATGCAAATGTATCTCTTTCATGCAGGTCCACTCACCAGGGAACTGTGGTTGGCTGCACCTCCATTGAGTATGCCCTGGGCTAGGTACCCAGGTTAGCCTCTAGGAACTGTGTGGAAAGGTCCAGAGGTGTGCACAGGTGCTCTCCCC